GCAATATATAATAATAAAAAAGAAAAGGCTAATATTCCATGGTGTTTTATTCCATTTAGAATAGTTGTTGTGAATTTCAGTATATGTAATATGAAAAAAAGAAAACAGAAAAAAAAGGTCATATTTGAAATAAAAAACAAAATTGGCTCACTGAGTCATGTAAGACAATTTTTCTCTGAAATTGAACTTACCATATCTATAAGTCTGGCTTATTCGTCCATGATTAGAATATTGCTACCACATATTGGTGCAGTGTTATATTTAAATAGTGAAAAATCCAGAATAATCTATGACTGGTCCTTTTGGCTTGCCTTCATCCTTTCCCAGGATATAGACACTTGTCTTTTTTTAAACACTTTCATTTTCTTTATTATATGGGCATTGAATTTAAGACCTTTTGAAAAGCAAGTACTGGTGTGGGATTTCAATTCAGTTGAGCTCCACAGATTTGGCAAAAAGTTCCTGCAAACAGATGATTTTCATCCAAACTTGTGGGACTCCAGGTGGCTCCATGCTTTCCAGCCAACTTTAATGGGACAAAAATTTAAATGCAATTTCAGTTCAACTGTCTACTTTTCTAAATGATTATTTTTCTCTTGGGTTTCATTATTAATGCTTCTGTTCTAAACAGCTGTGCCAAAAGTCCTTTGTTTTTTGTGGCTTTACTGCTTTGCAAATGGGTGATGCGAAAAAAAGTTACCAAACTCATTATTAGAACTGCCCATACATCAATACCAAACTTTGGAGATAATCTTTATTTTACTTCTTAGTTTATAAATGTTTTTTTTCTTTTCTTCAGAAAGGCTGCAGATTCTTGCCATCATTTTCTCAAAAAAATGTTTCTATATTAAATGATTTTGTATGTTCAGCTGATGACATTTATGGACAAATGGTGATGTTGTTAAATATTGTCATGTGTTCATTCTCTAACATTTTCCCCTTTCTACTGACTAAATTTTTTTAAATATCTTCAGTTGCTTTGTTTAATCATTTTACCTATAAAAAAAAATAAATTGTTTAATTAATGCCTGTGTTTCTATTTTTCTAGAAAATTCTTTTTGTATTTTTTACTTATTCACTCACAAACTTTTTGAAATAGATTTAGTAGAGTAAAATTTATGTGGATAGAAAAATTCCTGGAAAATCAATTTTGTGTTATGCTTTGCTTTATCACTAAGCAGCATCCCATTTGAGATGAACATTGGCATTTTTAACTTGTAAGCAGAATTAAAGATATAAAAATTTTCCTGTTATAAACTTGCTTGATTCTGACAGATTTATTCTGAGGCTAAAATACTGTTCTGAAAAAATGTCACAGGAACAAAAATAACACAACACACTATCCAAAATAATGGACATCTGCAGATGGTTAGTGTACTTGAATGAATATTTATAAACAAAGATGAAATCAATAGTTCAATTAACTATTGCACTTGGCATTATTAATAAATGGTTACTTTTTCTTTGCAGATTTTTAAGGCCTCTCAATGTTGCAATATACTGATTTTAATTTAACAAATTATTTTTTTTTTGCTATAGAAGGGTGACATAACAACTATTTTTTTCAAAAAAACACTATTCTTCAGGATAATTTTTTTGTAAAAGAACTTGAAGTCACATTACCTTATATACAGAGCAAAAATTTTCTGTATGCTATCATCTTTTATTAAAAGTTGTTATAGAAGTTATCTATAATTATTTTTCAGGATGGAAATATTCCACCTTTCTGTCCTTCTGTAGTTTTAACAATAAGTTTGTTTTTTTTTTTTTTTTTTTTAGTATCTCCGGTCCATAGTGAATTACATCTCGGTTTACCTGGTAGATGAATGTAAGGATGTATGTTAATGTTTATCATATAAATATTTAGTTTACTTTTCATACATTCTTTTATCAATATAAAATTTTAACTTTTAACTTAGACTTTTTTTCTAAGTTTTGGCACATTTTTTTTTTTTTTTTTATGTCTAAACCAGTAGTTCCCAAACTTTTTTTCTCTGGGCTGCATTTTTGGAATGAAAATTTACTCTGGCCTCACCAAGTTTTATGTGATGAAAAGTAGATTAAAAATAAAAAAACTGGGAGAGGGTTAATCATGGATTTTAAGTAGGAACATTATCATACTTTTTATAAAACCCAGGTTGTGTGTATGTGTCTGTAAATCTTATATTTGGATGAGTTTGAAACATTTTTAACCGATTTCAACAAAACTTCACAAGGACTAAGACAATAAATTTACCTTGCAGTGGTTCTGACAGCGCCAAAAATTGAAAAACAATTGTTTTTGCATGAAATCAATTTGATAGATGTGATTAAGAGGCATCGCTGTTGAGAATGAATAAAAAAAAAACTCATTGATTTTATTTCAAAAAACCCATTTTATTTGTGAGGTAAGTCTGTGTTCGTTTATATATGAGATCAGATTTCCTACATTTTTCAATAAATTTTCAACAAAATTTTTTTTTTTTTTTTTTTTTTTTGTTTTTATTTGTCTTATCACACTTTTTTCTTTTATTTTTACATTCAGAAACATTTAAAAATTCCATTTACAAGACAATTGTTTATAATAAAATTCTATTCAATCGATAGACTCATAACGATTGAAAACAATGCTTTTGTTTGGGTTTGACCAATTCATAAAAAAAAAAAAAAATCATTAAGACATGCGTGTCCCTCAACCATAGACAATAATCTTTGCCAATTTTATTTTTCAGTCTTTATGATGGTCGATACTTGATCTATCTCTTACTGTTACATCCCCGGGCAACGCCGGGCTCTACTGCTAGTCGTTGATAAGTCTTGCCTCCAATTTGTGAACCCTAGTTACTGTATTCTTAATACTTAATATAATGCAAAAATATCACAATGATGAAATTGGTCAATAATTATTTATAACTATTTATACTAGGACTCATACATGCAATTACAAGTAATCCATAATAATATTTTAAATTTATATTTATTTTTGGCACATAAATTTTTTTAAACAGTTTCTAAATCTTTGATTGTCTCTCAATCATTTGACCTCACCTGCTATTTTCTTCTGCTACACCATTTGGGATCCACTGATCTAAACTATAATTACAAATTATAATTTTGGAAATTGAAAATTTCTAAGTTTTCATCTGAAATCAAAAAAATGCAAACTTTACACAAAGTGGTTACAATATATGGAAAGCAAAATTGTTAATTTAAACTGACACGAGGATATGGATTAAGAGACTTTATATAAAAGCTTTAATTCTAACATTGCTCTAATTTTGCTATGTTTGTTTTGAAATATTTAAAACAAACCAGCAATTTTCTTTTAGAATATTTATAAATATTTTTCACTCTTGCCAACTCAAAGTATGATAAACAATTATTGAACATATGTAATTGCCAAAGCATTGGGATCATTCAACAGAAGAACGATGAGTTTTACATGACTGTAGTTGAGCATGTCAACTCACATGTAATCTAACAAAAGTTTCATATGACAATTCTTTAAATTTTGTTACATGGGGTGTTTTAGCCATTTTTATATATGGTTTCATTGGATAAATTTCTTCCCTCCCTATTTCAGCTCCTGGTGTTTGTTGTGTTCCTGAATGTTTATAAATATTCAGGGATACACACACACGTCTCACATGCTGCATTCAATTTTTGTGTGCCTTCTGCCATAATGTTTTTGGGGTCCTAATTTCATTGCCTACTGTTTCTTGAGTGGTGGCATCCACCTGCTACTAATGTTGATACTGTGCCTGGATGACCCAATAAGCAGAGTATGTGAGCACATTGTTTCAGGGTTTTTTTTTTTTTTTTTTGTATCTACATGTTCCTCCATGGTCAGTCATACCAGAGTTTAAAGCCTCTGCATGTTACAGCTTTCTGGTGTTCCTCAAACCTTATTTTTTTACAGGGCACCCAGTTTCACATTTTGTAATCTTTGCCAAAATTGCAGGGAATCTTGTACATGCAGTTCTTCATGTTTTCTTTTAATTCAAGCTTTACTTTGGTATGGTGTCTATGTAGCATGGGGCCACTTTAAATAAAAATACTTTTCTGTTGTTCTGTTATTATATCAAGTATATAATATCATAACTTTACCGAGTGGCTGTAAACAGATTTAAGTGTTTTTTGACTTTGTGTCTCTGCTAATAATTGCAGCTGATATGTTTGAAAGCTAGTTGTGTTATTCCATCTCAAATCAGCCAATGGTCATAGGTGACCTTCTCTCAGAAAAAAATTGGCTATTTTCAGGTCATTTATAAAAATAAAAGTACATGACACACCTAAGCTGTTTATATTCTTGTAATCTATAGTAAATATTGTCACCAAGTTTCAAATTTGTACATGCAGTATCCTTGGAGCTATAATGTCAGAAGTTCATTGAAAGCCTTATATAGCAGAACATAAAAAATACAGTAGAATTTCAAGGTGCTCTGATTTTAAAAGTATTAAAAATACAGATCTTTCAGGTTTATCCATAAATTTGACCAAGGAACACCTGTGTATTTTCCCGACAAGTTTATCTATGACTGTTGGTTGATTTGGGATGTAACAACTCGGATGTAATAGGATTCAACATTCTCGAACAAAGTAAACACCTGAGGAAGGTCAGAGTAAATACAGACACAGGGTTGTGAAAAAGCAAATAACATATTGCATAAAATGATTCTTTAGGAAATTAAACTGAAGTTGCATACCTCAGTAATTGAGTGAAATCAAATTTGTATTTGTTAGTATATGGTATAACTAAATGTTGCTGTTAACAAGAACATGGTGAGAAAGAGAGGCTGCATCAACGCATATATAAGAGACAAAAGTTCATATCCAACTGGGTTTTGTTTTACAACTACCTGATTTTAAGTGGTTAGGAGCAAGGTAATTTACAACATTAATAAAACAATACACATAAACGGTTTTAACTATTATTGTACACATCCAGCCACTAATTATATTGTTCACATTTCTGCTTATAGGATATAACTTATCCAATATATTGGCTGTTTCTGATGAGAATGGTTTTATTACATTATTTGACACAAACCTTCCTGGGAAGAAATCTGTGCTCAGAAGTAAGTAAATTTTTATTCTTTCAAAATTTAATTAGTTTTTTTTTTTTTTTTTTTTTTGTTCTAATCAATTTAGAAAATCAAAATGTTTACAAAGGGATTGCTGAAAAATTCTTGATCCCACTTACAGTTGCATCATTGAATATCTAGAATATCTATTTATTTTTCTTTTTTTCCCCACTTTCCTTTTCATTTTTCTCTAGCTTCCTATTTTTCCTCATTTACACCTTTTTTTTTTCTCTCTATCTCTCTCTCTTGCTTTTCTCAATTCCTTTCCACTGAATATTATGTGAATTTCTTAGTCAAAAAGTCTGATTCCAGCTCAGAAAGTTTAAGGATTGGACACAGATACCACACTGATCCTAACTTAAATGAAATACTTACAAACAAGAATGCTTAGCAAGCTTGTCTCGCTATATCAATTACAGCTGAATAATGAGTTCAGTTCTCACTGGGTGCCACATATTTTTGACCTTGTGCCACATCTAAGTTATGCCTAGAAAATCACCATACAAAGAATATAATTTCAGTCACTATATCATCTGTTATACTTGTACTTACTACAAATATTTTATCAATGAAATTAAAAATCCAAGTTTAATTCACTTGAGACTAAGCACAAAAAAATGTCTGAAACAGGATTTACATCAGGGTGGTTATTGGAATGTATACTTTTACATATAATAAACCATTCAGCTTTGAAATCTGTTATACCATACCTATGGACTATAATGGGTATGTCCCAATCTGCATAAATGCAGTAGAATATATTGTATGTGGTAGTCATTTGAATTCACTGGGATTCACCTTGATTCATTTCTAGCAGTTAATTACTTACTACACGCCACTGGTGAATCTTGTATGTTGTTCCTGTTATAAATATTACCGTTCCATTTCCAACCTTCATTTTGGTTATTCTTATTCAGTAACCTTTTCCTAGATTATAACAAAATCTTTCAGTGTTTTTTTTTTTTTTTTTTTTTTTTTCAAATGTTTGAATAGGTCTTGAAAAAGTCAATCACCATAGCACAACTACATTATGTGCCTTGCCATATTTGAATATATTACAGATATTTTTCTTTACACGTCAGTAAAACACATTTTCAGTTGTTTGTTCCTTTTCAAAAGACCTCTTTTCACAAGAAAAGTGATTTGATATTTAAGCTGATTTTGCTACAACCTGCGAAATCTGCTGATGCTTTCTGATTTTTATTTAAAATATATATTGACGAATCATTTATGTTTGCTTCTTATATTTAATTTATGCAATTTATTTTTCTTGTTTTGAATTGATTTAAACAATTTTAGGCAGCAATGCTAATTTTCTCTGTTGATGGGGTGGGGAAAAAAAGCAATTTTAAACAAATTATAACACCTATGCAAATCTTTTTTTCACATTGTAATAATTTAATCATTTGTAGTCATATATTTTTCATTATGGAGTCATCAATGTACTAGTATGTCAAATGGGTAATTAAGTATTAGTACCCAAACTGAACGATTAAGATGTATGGCTGATTTTTGGGAGAGTTCTTTACTACATTACATGATGGGAAATACAGCATGACTGAGATACTGTATCATAATTCTTAACGTCGAATGAATTTGTTTCTCTTTCTACTATGTTCTAGATTGGAATGCCCATGGTAATGCAGTTTTTGATTTGACTTGGGTGGGTAATACTGAAAACCTTTTAACAGCATCTGGAGACCAGACAATAATATTATGGAATACACCCTCAATGGAGAGACTTCAAATTTTTCGGGGCCATAGTAAGAGTGTCAAGTCTGTTTCTGTGAAACCAAATGATCCTGGTAAGAATTAATAGTTAATTTTTGATTTGTTCAGTATATGCTATTTTAAATGATGTTTAAGAGCATTAAGTCTTATATGCCATGAAAACTCTTTTTTCCTATTTTATCAACATATCATATATGCAGGGAATATTAATTCATTTCTGATATATGTCACAAAGTTAACACTTTGTAGAAATGTTTTGTTTTTGTGAAAAGAATGTGCTCGATAACTTTTTTTTTTTTTTTTTTTTTCTTTTTTTTTTTTTTCCCTCTTTCTTTCGTTTTTTTCCCCTCTTTCGTTTTTTTTTTTCCTCTTTCTTTCTTTTTTTCTTTCTTTCTCTTTCTTTTTTTTTTTTTTTTTCTTTTTTTTTTTTTTTTTTTTTTTTTTTTCTTTCGTTTTTTTTTTTTTTTCGTTTTTTTTTTCCTCTTTTTTTTTTTTTTTTTTTTCATTTTTTTTTTTCCTCTTTCTTTCGTGTTTTTTTTTTTTTTTTCTTTCGTTTTTTTTCCTCTTTCTTTGTGTTTTTTTTTTTTTTCCTCTTTCTTTTGTGTTTTTTTTTTTTTCCTCTTTCTTTTGCTTTTTTTTTTTTCCTCTTTATTTCTTGTTTTTTTCCTCTTTTTTCGTTTTTTTTTTCCTTTCTCTCTCTCTCTCTCCCCCCTCCCTAATAAGACAATGGATTACTAAGTATGAAAGAATATAAGAAAAAGAAAACAGTAAGAGAACACTAAGAAGATAAAGATGCTTTTAAATTTTTGGAGAGTAAGGCGACAGAAGAGTTCCACAAGCGAAAGGAGAACTGTTGATATAGAACTTAGTTACATCTAGCCATTTCAACTGTAAAATGATGTGACCTTGCTGCCAATCTAGTACTTTGCTTATACCAAAGAGGAAAGTTCATCAGAACAATTACCATAGAAAAAGCACAGTAAAGCTACATTACAGCAGTGGGAAGTTGAGATGCCAGGTCTGGACTGATAACATTGCAAATTTCTTTTTTGGATTTTATCAAGAATCTCTAAATACATAGAAGAAGCAAAAGACAAGATGTAGCAGCAATATTCAATCCATGGATGAATGGTAGACTTATGTGTACGATAGATTCTGATGAGAAAAATTGTCTAGCATGACATAATGAACCAAATTTCCTAGCAGCAGACCTAGCAATTTATTCAATATAATCTTTCCACTTTGTCAGCAGAAAATGTTAGCTCGAAAAGGTGCAATGAGTTCCTCTCCTGGAGGTTAGTATCAACTAAAATAAAAATATAACAAAAATTTGGTCATTGTTGTCTAAGATAAACTTTGCACTTCTACAAAACAAATTATTTTTGTAAAAAATCATGGCAGATGAATTTTTATATGGAAGTTTTACTTAAAAAATGAATTTAGAATAGTACAATTTTTATTGCAACAAAATTAAAATTGTAGTTATATTTCAATGTGAACGATTTTATTTTTAGAAAAAGTTGCAGAGAATTTGAAAAAAAAGTTTTGCTACTCAGGATAGCTCTGTAAAATGTGTAAAGTAACATTTTGGAATTAGTTACTATATAACAACTGGTATATTGAAATAGTGTTACATCAAACTAAAACTGATCAAAAAAATTATGCAAAATCTGATTGTTCTTATGAGGGATTGCTGAAAAATTCTTTGCACAATTAAAACCTTTTGAAAAAAAATCTAGTGTATGTTTAGATTTTGGAAAGTGGGTCAAGCTGAGAACAACTTAGCACTACCACATAATTTTTTAGTTTAAATTGTAATATTTTTTTAACACCATACTAATTATAATAAACTTTGCAATATACACACACACACAAACGTTATATGTTGGAAATATATATAAAAATATATATATATAGATATATTGATAATATTAGTGGAAATATACATACATATGAAAAAATATATCTAAAAATTTCCATACATGTATATTTTCAGAAAAAAAATTTTTTCCAAGAGGAAGGATCCAGGTAGAACTCAATGTCTAGGACAGAGTAAGGATATAATAAAAAGGCTTAAACACTAATATTCCATGGTCATAATTTATTCCATTGGGAATCGTAAATCATCAGACCTACAAATTCCAATGGAATAAGGTAATATACATTGGAATATTAAAAATACATCTTTTTATTATATATATATATATATATATATGTGTGTGTGTGTGTTTACAACGATATATATATATATATATATATATATATGTGTGTGTTTACAACGATATATATATATATATGTGTGTATTTACAACGATATATATATATATATATATATATATATTGATTGAGATATGTGTGTACAACTATATATATTGTTTGATATATACTCACACACACAAACACACATAAAAATATTGTTAACTTGAATAATTTATCCACTTGTGGAGTTGGTGTGAAATAATATCTTCATACTGTTTATATAATTTTCTCAGATTGTCCAAAATGGAAGAGTGCTTAATATCAGGGAAGAAGGATTTGATAGCTATAAACAGTTTTGATATATGTATGTATGTATGTATGTATGCATCAACACTGTGTAGTAATTTATAAAAGGCAAAATCAACCACATATATAAATTGAAATGTTTTCAATTAGGTGCTTTAAACATTTGTTGAAAAAAGAAATTCAGAGAAAGTTGTGTCCGTCACCCATCGCTTCCCAAACTCTGTCTGTCGCCTATACAACCTTCAGTTTCAACTTATGATCTGATATTGCTTTAGGTGTGAAAATGACAGTGACTTGCAGTGTCGATTTTATGTCAACATTGTTATCAATCAAGTTTTATTAAATTCAACAAACTCGATATCATTATTATACTTTGAAATTTTAAAAATAATTTTTCGTCCATTTAAAATTTAAATAACTCTGATGCTTTAAAATGAGTGTTGTGTAATATATATATATATATGAGAAAGTTAACGAATCCGTTGGTATATAATCCAAGTAGAGCCTAGTAATATAAAGTAATAAAACTGATACACAAAAAAAGCTTAATTTATTTATTATTACAGATTAATTAAATAAAATCCCAAATCACCTCATATGGGGGAAAGTCTATTTCGGCAGACGAAAAATATTATTAGCTGTCTGCCTTATATAGTGTTATATATATATATATATATATATGACCTTGGGTTTCACGCCCTTGCGATCGTCAGACAAACTCTCTTATATATATATATATATATTAGTGCAAAATTATGTTTTGGTTTTCCGATTCTTAAGTGTTCTCATTCTCTTTCATCTTATCGGCATTACCCCTTTTTTGGGGTGATTGATCCTTTTCAGACCTTTCTCAGAGCTTTGTTGCCCATCTCCCTTCTCCATAATATGAGTGGTTATACTAGGTTATATGGAACCAGCAACGGATTAATTCATAACCTGTTGTATTGTGGGGAGGGTAAGTTGAATTAGAGATCAATCAGTACAGGCTGAACAGAAAGGGTCTAAAGCGAACCGGGTTCAAGTTCGGCCTATCTCTTTCTCTGTGACGTTAATCCTTAGGCGATAGTGTTCAAGCTAAAGATTCCACGATGAACTTGGATTTCTGCTATGCCCCAAGAGGCACTGAAGTTGCTGTTACAGTCTCTCTCTCTCTCTCTCCGGTTTCTCGCTTGTTAATAAGGCTCGCGGTATCATTTTACAGGGGACAGGATTGTATTGAGGTATGCGTCTGCTAAATTTAAAAGTATCAGATTTCTTTACGTGGGCGAGTATGACTCTCCACAACTTCCTATCCTTTGTGTCTGTTATAGACTTGTGAACACTAATGGGTATATCCCAATCCTCATAAATACGTTAGAAGTAATATGGTGTCTAAGTAGTCCTCCACTAACACTGGTTTACCTACTTCACGCCGCTGGCGAGTATTGTATTTTGTTGATGTTATAAAGATTACCATTTCATTTCCAACCTACGTTTTGGTTGTTCCTCATTTAGTATCCTAAGCAATATTGTTCCCTTACTCTTCCTCCCAGTCCCTGTTCTGCCATCCATTATTACTCGCTGTTATCCACTGCCTCCCTCTTTTCTTCAATATGCCCTGTGTGTGTCAAATCCTCCACAACCACTTTCCTCATTATTTACATTATTCGGACTATTGTCCTTATCTTTGTCGCCATATTTATTACAACGTTTCCGCCGTTGTATGCTCCGGCCTTCTTCAGGTGATTGGAATGTCGAACTGAACCCTTTATTTCGCTTACTGAGCTAGACTGTTCTAGTTCCACATGCCATGTATAATGGATGTCAGTTATAAGTTATCTCCTGTTAATTTCCCTCTGAAAATTGGAATATGAGCTCTGGTAAAAACATGCAATGATAACAGCAAAAATTGCAATATGAGCACTGGTAAAAAATGATTGAAGACATTAGGTTTATAATACCCTGAAATTATACACAGATGTCCTGGCACAGTGGATAAAGGCGTTGGTTAGATCCAGTGACAGGACCCAAAAAGTGTGCGTTCAATACCCGGTTAAGGCAGTGGAGAACTTTCAGAGGGAAATTAACAGGAGATAACTGACATCCATTAAGCATGGCACGTGGAACTAGAACAGTCTACTTTCTACCCCAGTGAGCGAAATAAAGGGTTCAGTTCGACATTCCAATCACCTGAAGAAGGTCGAAGCGTACAACGGAAGGTTGTAATAAATATGGCGACAAAGATGAGGACAGTAGTCCGAATAATGTACATAATACCTCATCTCAGAAATATAGACAGATACCTATTTCCTCATAATACATCCTTTTGTTATTTTTTTAAAAACTTCTACGTTACTTACTTGTCCCGTTTATGTCATTTCAACTATCCTTCTCTGGAATGATGTCTCCGCTTCCTCAAGTC